AGTTAAACTTTAGGAAAGGTGGAAGGAGCGTTGATGGGGGGGGCTCTACCTTTTTTGCCCCCCCGGGAAAAAAAGAAGACCGCCGCCCTGCCGTAACCCCCGCCCCGAGTGCCGCGCCGCCCAAACCCCCGAGCCCCGCGCTGGGCCACCGAAGCCCCTGCCCCAGCACCACACCACCGAAACAAACAAAAAAAAACCCCTCGAGCACTGCCCCGCCGAACAAAAACAAAACCGAAAACACCGCGAGCGCCCCCTGCCACCCCAACATTGGCCACCCTTTAAAAGGTGCCGCCCCAAGCACGTGCTTGGTCGGCTGGTGCCTGGAGCCGGCCCTGGCACTGATATATAAAGTGAGTGCAGGCCTGAGGAAGGCAACAGGACTACTCTCGGTGCAGCTTTAGTGAGCATGCAGCTGAAATGTGGAGTTCAGGCTCAATACATGAGAGACAGCAATGATGTGGAAAGAGTTCAGAGAAAATCAACAAAAGTTATTAGGAGCTGTAGGCTTGACTTTGAAGGAAAGTTTACAAGAACTAAAAATGTGTCGTTTGTCTAAACCACACAAGGGGATGGTGAAAGGTTCAGGGAATAAATGCAATGAAACCTGTTTCAGGCGATCATCCAAGGAACACAATCTAAAACCAAAGGAACAGAACACCAATCAAGTGACTAAAGGATGGAGAAGAATTATTTAGAGTAGTTCCAGGGAGACAGTTTTAAACCATGAGTTCTGGGATGAAATTAAGAAAAGAACAGTTATTGGCTGAATATCCAGAAAAACCTCCTGACAGTTAGATATAATAGGCTGTGAAATGGTCTTGCAAGAAAAGACATGCAGACTTGAAAACACACTAGACAATAGGTTAGAGGAAGCAATTCTTCTCTGGCTTGATGGGGACTAATAGGTCTTTTCCATTTTGGGTATCTAAGATTTGTATTCGAGTTATGTCAGTATTTCACAGAAGTAACTGTATTAAAAAACAACTGAAAGTTATGACTGAAAGTTAATTAATTTGCACACGTGTAGAAAATTCTTTGTAAATTGTTAACTTTTTAAATTTTGGCAATTTCCAAATTGAATGAACCTGCATACTTGTATTAAAAGTATACATTATTCATTTATTTGGACAGGTGTTTTATTTATCATTCTGCAACAGTATATGTTGTGTATTTTGTAAGTGAAGTCTCAGTAAAGTCAAACTACAGCAATCTGATCTTATATTTCTTTGCTGAGAAGGAAAAATATCCTTGCATTTTTTGAGAGAATTTGTGAGGGTCTAATGTGAATACATTTTAAAACAAATAACTTATGATGGAAGACTGTGGAAAAGTCAAATTAATACCACTTTTTTTAACAATAGAGAACATAACCACAATAGGACATTCTAGTCCAAGATACATGTTGTGATAAATGGTGTGTCATGACGGCACACCCAGCATTCACTCTGCTTTACTTGGCATCTAACGCACCCAAAGTACCCCAAATACCTTTTCAACAAATTAGGTCTTTCTACTTTATCATTTCATGTTGCTAATCAAAGTTATCTCACAAAACAAGTGCATTCTAAAGGTGAAGTTCTTGAGATAATTGTTTTCTACCATATATAAATCAAGTAACCCCCCTATAGCCAGTGCATGTTACAGAGCTCCTCCTTTATGTTAATAATTTGAATATATTTTGAAGATCAAGGACTAAATAGCACAAAATTAGTGAAGATAACTTTATTTACCTTTGTCTTTTCACCAATAACATTTCTCTCCAGCTCAGCTATTTTCCTGTTCAGATGGTCCAATATTTCCTTCTCTTTCAGAAGTTCAGTTGTTTCAGATTTCTGTTCCCCATCCAAAAGAGCACATTCCATATCCAGCTAGGGAACACAAAACATTTCTCAAAAGCAGTCCAGTTTACAAAGAACTCTTCGTACACTTTTTGTTGTTGTTACATTTTAAAAAGCAGTGTTGATGCCACCAAGCCTGAGCTTCTACATGTTTACAAAGAGATCAAAAATACATAAAAAGGAAAACCTCACCATAAAATATTGTAACATAAACGAACAAACCAACTTTTAAATATTATTTGTTCAGCACTTATTTTTTAATTCTCCTCTTCTTTGCTTCCTTCTGTGGGATACTGTACCTACTACTCGTGCCAGCCTCTGCACTAACCACTTTTGGAACAGCTGCTTCTTTCCTGTTGTTACTAATTAGAGACAGGACAACTTAAGGCCCATACAGCTTGGTTTGCAAGTGTGAGATTCCAGAAACCAACAGTGCTTCATAGTCTTGCCAGCACAAGGGTGAGGAGTTTTAAAAAGAAATTATCTCACATCCTTACCCTTTAAATGGCTACATGAGATACAATACTCCCAAGTGAGACAAGATACTCAGATGAATCCATCAACCATTCAATAATCAGGACTATTCTAATTACATTTAGGGGCATAGTAGTTAGAACTAGAAAAGGCCAAATAGATCGTGTTATCTAGCCTCCTGCAAGGGAAGAAAATAGTCCCCGTAGTACGGAAATATCAGTTAATATGATACTGCACTTAATTTTGGACAAAAGGCAGAGGATTTGAAAGCTATGTGGATGCATGAGACTCCTGTGTATTTTTTATACACACACACATTATATATAATGTATATATATATAAAAAACCAAGATACGTGCATATATACAATTTTAGCTATTTAATGAGCATGACATTTAAAATCAACATGTGAAAAGAAACAGGAGACCTCATTTCTTGATACCTCTCTTGAAGATTCATCCATCTGGTCATTTAACTCTTTGATCTTCTGTTCAAGTTCCTCTAAGTTATTTAGTATTGTTATGTGTTCTTCCTCCAGCCGACCAAGCTCCTGCCCTCTTTGCTCATCACTTGTGCATTCTGGTGTCTGCAATTAGTCATTAGGCAGTGTTTATTAATAAAATTCCAAAGCAGTGCATTTTCTCCTTCCTCTCACTCTGTGTTCAACTACTTTACACAATTGTTGCATTGCAAGAGTTCTGCTTTTATGCCTGCTAATTGACACTTCACTTGGAAGCATTGGTTACTGAACTTCATACTATATGAAGTCTTTTCTCATTAACTCTTCTTGTTAGCTATATTCTTCAGACACTTCATACATTGTGTTATTTTGGTTGTAATAAGCCAGCGTTCTCAAGTAAAAGAGATACAGAAAGATAAATTTATCCTTTTAAAATATACTTCAGTTCTATATACATCTTTACCTCGATATAACACTGTCCTCGGGAGCCAAAAAATCTTACCGCATTATAGGTGAAACCGCATTATATCGAACTTGCTTTGATCTGCCGGAGTGCGCAGCCCCGTCCCCTCGGAGCACCGCTTTACTGCATTATATCAGAATTCGTGTTATATCGGGTCACGTTATATCAGGGTAGAGGTGTATAACAAAAACCTGGATGTTACAGCATTTCATAAGCAAGTGTCAAAACGAGTGGCTTTTGTAAGATGGATGCACAATTAGCATGGCAAACCATCTTTAAAATCCCTCTCTCCTGCCTCAATTATTTATTGGACAATTATGACAGATATAAAAAGCAGCATTAAAGATATTTTTGGAGTTTATTTTACCCAGAAAGCCTTGTTCTGAAACAGCAGTTAGTTTTCAAAGTGGTCCTGCAAATTATCCTGTTTTCTAAAGGCTGAAGCAATAGGGTCGAATTACGTTTTAAGGTCACTCGTTCATTGTCTCCAGACAGAATTAGAATCAGATCCTGGCTCTCAGTCCCTTGCTTTAACTGCTAGACCATATGGCCCTCTTCAAAACCCAGTGAAGCTCAACTACCTAATTACTATTCTGAGGGCAGACATTTTAACAAGAGATCATGTGCAAATCTGACCTTGATATTTGAGAACAATGAACTGCATTTCATTAACACTCAGGTGCCTGTTACAGCTCTTCTCTTCCTTTAGCAGAACACACTTTACCATGAATGAATGGTATTCCTTACTTACTAGTGCTAGTAATCCTATCAGGAAAGCCTCTTTTTGTCTGGTATCCTGTTTGGCTAATGCTGACATAACATCTTCAATTTCAACTTCCCAATAGAGATTAAAAATAGGATCTTTCATTTATGGAAAGAAAGTCATGAGCATGGAAGGGTTTCAAGAGCATAATAACTTGCACATGAAGTGTTTTAAGGTAAATTTCAGATAAAGAAAGGAGAGAATCAATATATTAAGATGTAGTTACAGGGAACTGGTTTCTACTTAAAATACCCTTATTTCCAAAGACTCGGCAGAAAGAGTTCTAGAGGAGCATCCCTCTTTTTTCCTTTAAAGTAAATGATATCCCCTTTTACCTATACATAAACAAAAACAAGTCAAACAGAAGATACCCTGTAAACTTATATTTAAATGCAATGAAGCTAATGTAGTCCTTACTACAAAGGGGTAAGGAGAGAAACAGAAAATATACGAAAGCTACCATCAAATACGGGAGCCACCATCAAGCATGTAAAAAATCCCCTACTATGAGGTGATGATTAAGATGACTAAACTGAAGAGTTGTGCCTTGACATCTCCTTTATTTTGAGAGTCCTTAAAGAGTTAGCATGGAAATGGATTAGCTGCTGAAATAACAAAATGATGATCTAGTTATATTGTAACTGATTGGATATTCCTGTTGCAACCTGATGTAATCTATCTCAGCGTTTCTCCAACTGGGGTCCGCAGACCCATGGGGCTCTGTGAGGGTACTCCAGAGGGTCCGCAAGTCACGTCTGAGCCCACTGGCCCCGCTGATCAACTCCTCCCCCTCTTTCTCAGTGCCTCCTGCACGCCGCACAACAGCTGTTCGGCGGCATGCAGGAGGCACTGAGAGGGAGGGGGAGGAGTGGAGAGGGGGACGCTTGGGAGAGGGGGTGAAAAGAGGTGGGGGAGAGGAGGGGCAGGGGTGCAGCGGGGGCAGGAAGAGGTGTGGCAGGGGTGGTGAAGGGTTGTAGCCACGGGTGGGAGTGGGTGGGCCGTGACCAACCCACTAAGCATCCAGGCCCACCTCCCCAGCCCCAGTTCTGCTCTGGCCTCAGCACTTGCCCCGCTCCGCCCACCTGACCAGCGTTCCTGCCGGGGAGCGGAGTTGGGGAGTGGAGGATTGTCTTGCTCCACCCGCCCGGTGCTCCTGCCAGGCAGCAGGGTCAGGACGCGGGGGCTTGCCCTGCTCTGCCTACCCAGCGCTCCAGCCGTGGAGCGGGGTCAGGGTGTGGGGGATTGCCCCGTGCCACCTGCCTGCCACCTGTGCTCCTGCTAGGGCCAGGCGGGTGGAGCGGGATAAGCCCCCACACCTTGGCTGGAGTGCCAGGCAGGTGGGAAGAGTGGGGCAAGCCCCTGCGTCCCGACCCCATGCCCCGGCTGGAGCGCCAGGTGGGCAAGCGGAGCAGGGCAAGCCTCTGTGCCCCCACCTTCCTAAAAAATATGAGGCCAACAGAACCATTTCCATTACAGTGGACATTTTAGGGAGGAAGGAATGAGAGACGATTCCAGTTCTTTCCTCTTCTTCTGGCCACAGGCCTGATTGCTTGAACTATGACAACAAAGTTGGTTGGGACTTTTTCCACTAAACATTTTTTGATCAGAAAATTCTCATTAATCAAAACCAAAATGTTTCATGGAAATGTTTCGATTTCAATGAACTTTTCTTGACAGACAGTCAGGTGTCTGACAGAACCAGTACTCTCAGGGATTCCAGGCTGCCTGTTCCATGGCAGAAATTCCTACAACTCCAAAGTCCGGCGGGGAGTCCCCTGGCGTCTGGAGTTGGAGAAGGATGGAGCTTGTGATTTCATTTAAAAATAAAACAAACAGAAAAACTTTGATTTTTCTGAACAAAAAATTTTAATTTCCCTTCTGTGGGAAATTTCTATTTTTTCAAAATGGCGGAATTTCCCATGGAATGAAAATTCTGAATTTCGACCGGCTCTACATGAAAATAATTCTAAATTAAATTTGCTCATTCCATGCAAACTGGCTACAGGGCCATTGAAAGTTACAACATATATTCAGTGCAAAGGAACTTACAAGTAAAACTAACTACAATACAAAAATGTAGAAGATTAGCCTATCACTATTCCATCTGCAGGAAAGCTGCCAAAAGGTAAACAGACATAATGAATAGCAAAATATTAATTTGATTTTTGAACTGTTAGCTATTAGTAACATCACTAAGGAAATTATTTTATTTTATTAAAAGGAGCACCCTTTTAACTTATAAGACTGCACTGTGAAATGAATGGGGAATATTCTGAAGCAGTTTCTTAAAAAGCAGTATATGTTTGTTGGAAAATATCCTTGGACAGATTTTGTGGTGTGTGAATAGGTCAACTGTCACAGTATACTTCACAAGAGGCAGCATATTGATTGGAACAATGGCTTTGTTCAGAATAAGAAAAAGGGATGGAGAAGTAAATTCAGCCAGGTGATACTTTTCTGCACCCTTTAAAACTATTCTGGTTCGCTGTCAGAAAAAATCTGGTGATCTGAGAGCAGGCAGAAATCTCAGTCAAGGGGAAGAGAAAAGTTACGTGATTTCCTCCTCTTTTGGCAACAGGCCTGAATACTTAAAACTTAAAAAATGTCATACTCCACATGACAACAATTATAGATTAATTTTGCTCATGAAACTCGAGCTGTCTACAGGACGATTGAAACGCTACTATTTAAATAATTTAATACTGTTATTTACCAAGCTCTCTCTTCCTAAACTGTTTATCATTTGGGAAAAGTACTTAAAATAAACAGTTTTCATAGCAAACGAAATCACCAACATTTCAATTCGTACTGGACCAAAACAGTTGTACTGTATGACTAAAACTTATCTTTAAGCCTTTTTCTTTGTGATTTCCACCATGAAAACTGAATTCAACTGGAAGACTTCAACCAAGGGTTCCTGATATGTGATGTTCACTTCTCAAGAATCTTACCTTGGGTATGATACTTAGGTACGAAGACTCATTAGAACCCTTCAAGAAGGCAGAAGAAGCTAAAGCTGGAGTCTTCATATTGTCACTGAAGTGTTCATCAGCTCTAATCCCTCTAGAGGAAAGTAAAGTGGCAGCACTTCGATTGAGATTACTACACTCTGAGAAATCAGAATCACTTGCTGATGATTTCAAGTGGTTTCTAAATCTTGCTTCTGGATTCATTTGAGAATCTTCAAATACAGAATCTTCATCTGACAGCTGAAGTTTTTCAAGTTCTTTATTAATTTTTTGAACATCAGCAACAGTGGTAGCAGCAGCAGGATCGCTATCAGACTTGGAATATTCAGCACATAAATTGAGGATGGTCTCCAGCCGCTGTCGCTCCTAGGAATTGAAACAAACAGTGCTAAACTTAACATACAAATTTCAAGCAAAGAAAATGTCAAAGCTACACAGAGGTTCACTATTTTTAATGTATTTTTTTAAATTCATTAAACTTCCTTATGTGCCTTTAACAATCTAGGGATAAAGTATTATATATGTTTACACATAGACATAAAATGATGGTGTGGCAGAGGAAACACAAGTTAATGAGGCAAGAAATCCTAAAAATGGGAAATAATTTCTGTAGAAAAGAGTTTAATGTAAAATCAGTGTAATCGTTTAATACTGTAATATATCATATAAAAAGGGATTTAAAAAGCAACTGAGTCAAAAGTGAGTTTTAAGATAGAGAACATAGAAGCTGTTCTCCATTAAAGATGATCCCACATTCGAGTTTCAAATTTCCCTTTTCACCACAGAAAAAGATTATAATTATTATTTATTTCCAACAGCACCCAAACGTGAACGGTCCTGCCCAATAGGGCTTACTATCAAAACGATGTGTCAATCTACTTTGTACTTTTGGCTATGCTCCTGGCAGAGATTAAACGGTTACACTCATTTTACATAGAACCAATTTACACAGAAATCATTCCCTTTTTTTAGGATTTCCTGTTTCATTAACTTTCATTTCCCCCTTCTTCTCCACACTCCCCCACCAATTTTGTAAGTTGCTTTACATCTGGAGACATCCACCTTTGATCCTTAGGAGGTTAAGAAGGAAAATAATATGTCATGACCAAAGGTTGACCAAAATGGAACAGAACCTAAAACAGGGGGTTATTGCTTTGCCAGCAAACTGTTAAATTATAAAAGCTCATGAAGGAGTCACACCATTTTCTTAACACTGAGAATATGAACAACTATGACAGACTTCAAGCTGTCATGGCTCAAGCTATTGTAGAAACATTTAATTCCTCAGAAGTTTTGAACAGCTCTGCAGTATTTTTAAAACTTATTAAAAAGCAAAACCAGATTTGTAATGCTATATATAATTTCTTTTAATATCAAATTGAGAACAAAATTATTAGATTTTTTTAAAATATACTATAACTTAAGTTCATGTTCCTTTTGTTAAAAAAAAAGAGAAAACAAATTTTAATTGGAAAACTGCTTACCATAAGCCTACTTAAAGATATTAAGACCTCATTAAGACAGCTTCATGTTTTGCATTAATACCAACACTAATGAATAAGGTTTTTGTAAATTTTTCATCTTATCTCTAGGAAACACTTCTAGACTATCACTCAGAACATTTAAAAACAATAACAACAGCAACATCTCTTCTGAATCTCCCTCCTGCCACAACCACTACAGGCTTATTCAGTTTCCAAATTCTACCTGGCAGTAAATCCAAAATCAGATTTTGCAAGATAGCTAACTTCTTGTAATCCTATCTCACTTGAGTCAGCAGCAATTAGAAACAAGAACCAAGTAGAAGAGTTAGAGCAAGACACTCTTTCCGGTTTCCCTGAAGCAAACCATGAGTGTAATAAATCTTAACACAAATTAACCAGTACTTAGCTTTTAGTAGGATTCAATGAAGGATTACAAAGTTACATGGATGAGAGCATCCACAGTTAATGTTAAAGAGAACAGATGTACGTATTTTTTAAAACAGATCTAAACCTTCCTGTTTCAGGGCATAAAGCAACAGGCAGAAATTTTCCCTTTGGGTAGCTTATTCCAAGTTGTTCACTATGGAGTTTCTTGCACCGTCCTCTGAAGCCTCTGCTACTAGGGCCATTGTCAGAGACAAGCTGTTGGACTACATGGTCCGCTAGCCTGATCTGATACAGTAATTTTTATACATTCTTCCATAAAGCAGGTGGCAGATTCAGTAGACAGATGTCAACTTCAAACCTATGACACCCCCCCCCCCAAGTCTCCAAAAGCCCTCCATGCAACTATACCCAAGCTTCTAAGCCTCTCCTTATTCCCGTAATAGGTTTATCCTCCTTTCCTCCTAGCAGCTACCTTTAGGGCAGGCAACCCAATCCCTAAATCACTGCGCAACGTCTGGCCAGGAACTCCAGCATTTATATATCTCTTGCTGTTGCCACTGGGTGAGGCCTGGCCCTTTGATACTATTGTCTAGGGTTACCATACATCCGGCTTTTCCCGGACATGTCCGGCTTTTCGGCAATCAGGGTCCGGAGGCAAGGGGGCTGCCGAAGCCCGAGCGCTACTGGCTTCATGGTTTGCCGGGCAGCCTCCAGACCCTGTGCCCCTGGCAGGGCACTTCCCCTCCCGGGCTCCAGCTGCTCTGATCCTCCCCTGACTCTTGGGCTCTGTTTAAGAGCCAAGCTGCCCGAGCCAGCGCTACCAGCTTCGGGCAGCCCCCGTGTCTCCGGACCCCGAGCCGCCGGCTGGGCACTT